TAAGTAATAGCAGTTTCTAAAAGGTTAAAATTAAGAAAAAAATAAGACTTTTTAATAATAGGTTTGTTGAAGTATAATTTACATAGCCATACCATTTGCTCATTTAAAATGTATAATTCAATGGTCTTAGTATGTTACACTGTTGATTTTTTAAATTGTGATTATATGTATACCTATATATATATAGATATATAAATTGACATTTTAGCCATCCTTTTCCCCTCTCAGGGCTGCAGATTGAACCTTGGGCCCTACACATCTAGGCAAGTCTTCTGCCCCAGCTCATTTCAGCCTTCCCCAAGAGTTCCGTTCCATGGCATTAAGTGTACTCACAATATTGTGCAATCATCAGCTCTACATTTTCAAATGTTTTCTTCACCCAAATGGAAACTCTAACTATTACACAATGGCTCCCCAGCCCTCTTTTCCCCAGCATCAGGTCACTGCTAATCTAATTCATAAGAGAAAAGCTTTTAAAAGATTGGAGTCATTAATTTTTTAAATAATAAATCTTATTTTTCAGAGCAGTTTTAGGTTCACAGTAAAATTAAATAGGAAGTACAAAGAATTCTCATATGTCCCCCGTCCCCACATCCACAGCCCCACTACTAACTTCCCACACCAGAGTGGGAACCCACACTAACACACCCTTAGCACCCAAGCCCACAGTTCACAGTAGGAGTCATTCTTGGTGGTGTGCATTGGGCAAGTGTGTCCTATGGAGCAATTTCACTGCCCTGCATGCTCTGCCTGTTTGTCCCTCATTCACTTCTTTACCTACATGATGAGACAACTACTATGCTATGAAAGTTGAGAAGATTATATTTCCAAATCATTCTTTTACTCCCAGTTTTGTTATATTATCATTTGTGTACATTTTTGAGGTTTTATACTCTTTTCAATAACCATAATTGCCAAGGTTGCAAAAATGCTAATTCAGTATTCATCAGGATTTCTCCATGAATGAATTTACTTCTCTTTTAGATTTCAATGTCAAGTAAAAAAAAAGAGAGAGACTTTATGGATGTCTAAACTCCCAGACGTGTTTCAGAGTGTTTACTAACTTAATACTTACAGGACAGTTTAGCTAAGTATAAATTCTGCTTCCTGACTTCTGTCTGTTAGAACTCTATAGACATTACTCCACCATGTTGTACTTGTGTTGCTTTGGAACCTGGTTCTCCCCAACCCAACTCCCTGCAACTCCTGCTTGTGTGCTTCCTTCTTTATCATTTAAGGTTAGTAACTTTTTTTGGGTGTCTTGCTATTACTTGCTTCATATCTGCCATTTTCTCTCATTCTCCATTTAACTTGTGATTTCCTCAAACTTGTCCCCACATCTCTTGTTCATGTCATGCTTTGCCTGTTTATTCATGATTTAACATAGTATTAAAAAAATATCTTTGATGTATTTATTGTTTTCTTTTCTCTTTCTCCTTTGAGCTTAGCGTGGTCACTTTTCAGCTTTCATCTCTCTGTTGTTAAATAATTTCTTTTAAATTTCTGTGTCTCATGCTTCTTCGGCAGCACATAACGCTAAGGGCAGGACTCGCATGGGTTCCTTTCTGATGTTGTTTCTTTAGCTCAGACCTCTTAGGGCATGAAGAATGTGCAAAGTGATCTGGAATCATCGGAAGACTTTCGTCCTAGAGCTGTTGTTGCACCTCTGTCAGCGCCAGGGCTCATGAGGTCATTGTGACTCACAGCAAAGTTCTATAGGTCCTGGACTGTGCTAGAACCTACCTCTCCCTGTCACTCTTATCTCCCAAGCCCCTCTAGACTTCCAGCATCTCCCTTAGCTGGAAAACTGTTCCCATGTAGAGAAAGTGTGTGGGTGTGATTCACATCAACACACACACCTCTTCCATTTAATGTGAAAGTGCATCTCTGCATGTACTCAGTAACCCACGGGAGCACTCTTCACATTGGTCCCAAACCAGAGATTACCCAAATGCCCATCAAGATAGAATGGTTAAGGCAATCAGTGCATTCACCCAACAGAATACTGTAGAGCAAAGAGGATGAACAATCTGTACCGTGTAAGAACTTGTATGGATCCCATGAACATGAGATGTTGATCATAAAAAGCCAGACACTAAAGAATTCATGTAGTGTGTTTCTGTATGAAACTGTTCTTCCTGTAGGTCAAGGACAGGTGAATGTTGACAATTCATAGACTTCCACCTGATGTAAAGTGCAAAAACACAAAAAGCAGGATTACTCATAGCTGGGGGGGTGGCCAGAAGACACCAGGCTGCTGGCAGGGGTGGGCGGCTTGCTTTGTTGCAGTGTTGGGACCTGCACATGCTAAATAAGCCCTCTACCACTCACCTACACCCTCAGCCCCAGTATTCCTTGATAATGGATGCTTAATCACATGCATGAGTTTGTTGATGAAAATTTCTACTTAGGATATAGGCACTTTCTTTGTATGTCTGTAATACTTCAATGAAAAGTAAAAAAGCAAAACAAATAAAAACCAGGGAGATTCCTCACCCTTCCTGGGGTACCTGCCCAACCTTTGACTTCATCTTTCCAATGAGAGGATTGTGGTGTGACTTGGAGGAGGTGATGTTTACTTGGGAGTCCAGGGTGGCATTTATTAGCTCTTAGCAAGTTCCTTCTTCCCATGGGATTTCATGGAACCTGGATGGTGTCCTCATAGTCTGCTGTCATGATTTCTTCGTTTTATCAACAATGCAATTGTTAGCAATCTTCTGGTCTTGGAGGGAGGACAGGGAGCTGAAGTGCTCCTGTTGGCCATCTCTAGCAGGATGCCATGCTGACAGTGGGTTCAGCAAGGAAAGGCCAGGGCTTGGCCAGGCGGACCATTGGCACCTTCATCGTGAGCTCCTGAAAGGGACTCCATTTCCCCAGTTCCTCTGTCTGCTAGGCATATCCCAAAACAGTACTGGGCTCTGAAAACTGCCCAAAAAGAAGTCATAGCACACGTGGTCTGAGCATCTGCCTTCCAGAGGGCTGCTTTGCAGGACAAACACGGAAACATGCAACCTAATACTTGATGGGCACTCTTTGTGTGTGTCTTTTTTTTTTTTTTTTCTTTTTTGGTCATACTGGGGTTTGAACTCAGGGCAGGAGCTGTACCACTTGAGCTACTCCTCCAGCTGATGTGTGTCTTTTCTTCCTCCAGGGGGAGAGGGCACCTCTAGAAGCCAGTGACACTCTCAGTCCACCCTGTTCTGCCCCACACCTGGCACTCACTTTCACAGGCTTGTGAGTGAACATGTCTTCTACCATCTCCCCAGGATGTATCATGACCTGGAGATGTGCCCAAGGACGCTCCAATGGTGCAGCACACGCCTGCCTCAAGGCCTTTGTTCATGCTGTTCCTTTGGCTAGAGCATGCCCTCCCATCTGCTCCCATATCTGCCAAGTAGATTCCTGCAGCTCTCAGGAACTCTAGCTCCACCTTCTGCAAAGCTTTACCCAAGTCCTCTGGCACCTAGGGAGCCCATCCGCTTCACTTACCCTTCTTTTAGTGACACTCAGGGTAACTCGAGGTCAGGTGGTCTTAGCCCCACTTTACATATGGAGAGACCAAGGCTCAGTGGGTACAAAACTTGTCCTAGGAAGCCATGGATCTAGTAGTGGCAGCGTCAGGTTTTGCAGTTGGATCCCAGAGGGAACTCCAGACTGACCTCCTGTCACATTTTATGTTATTCTTGGAGTTGAGTCCTGTCTGCTGCTATTAGTCACTTTGCACTCACCTGTAAGGGTACCAAACTATTTATTCCATTGTTCTGCCAGTGCATCTACCTGCCTACCTGCTTACCTCCATAGTTCCTTAGGTTTTTGTGGGCAGAAGCACAGTCCCTGTTCTCTAACCTAGTTATAGATGGAATTGCACCCTAAGCATTCTCGTTGTCTGATGGCCCTCTGAATGGTCATGTGGCTGCCCCCAATCAGCTCTAAGCTTTGCCACTAGCCCAGCTAGTAAGGAGGAGCCAAGGGACCTCTGGGCCCTTTGGCTGTGTCTCTGTTCCTCTGCCTGCAGGTGGAGGTATGTGATTACAGCTCACCTGGCAGCTTGTCATTAGAGGGTGTCATTATGTACCTGTCCTAGATGAGTGCTCACAGAGCCTCTGAAGTCTGAGACCAAGTGTCTGGGTGCTGGCCCATGCTCTGAGATTTCGTCCCCTGTGAGGGAACAGGGCTTTAGAAACATACTTCTAGTCCACCCCCAAGGGTCCTGTCTCACCCCTAACCCAGGAGCCTGCCGCAGCCCCTGGGGAGCCGGGAAACCAGGAGAACAGGGATGATGTGGTGGGATATGAGTGCGACATGAACAGGTCACTCACCGTGCATCAGTTAAGGCCCAGAAAGGGCAGATGGGTTAGACTCCTGAGGGTCTGAAGAACATGAAGAATGCATTGACCTCTTGTGAGTCAGACGGCAAAATGGGAATTACTCTGGGTAATTGCATTTACCCCAGGACAATGAAGGAACATACCTCAGGTCCCACAGATATGAGCATAGGTGCCAAGTAGCATTTGGTCTGCTGTGACTTTTATAGAAACTTCTGGGCTGGATGATCCTGGGACTGCAATGAAGAACCACATGGAAAAGCTTTGGAAACAGCCCCATTGACCCTTAATTTTTCCCATGAACAGCCATCAGTACCACTATGTCACGGGGAAACTGAGGCTGCAGCTCAATAGGATTGTAAGGCAAGAACACATTGCCCTGTCCCCGCCCTCAGGAGCAGGCCAGCCATCCTTCACTCCCCGAGACTGTTTATGATTGGAGGGTTCACACACAGCCTCTGAGTCCTTCCGGCAGCTCTTCAAGACTGCTTAGCAAGTAAGGAAACGGACTGCTGGAGAAGTGAGGAATTTGCTTGAGGTCACACTGTTGTCTCACAGGGTTGAGGCCAGAATTCTATCCTGTGGTTTAGACCGGCCTTTCCTCTGCTATCGCATCCACCAGGCTTTGCAGAAAGTGACTGTCCTGTCCTCTCTCTCTCTCTCTCTCTCTCTCAGGGGTCCTTGGTGAATTCTGTCATGGTTATTTAAGGAACCTTGCTTAGAAGTCCCCACACGCACGCAGTTCCCCATCGCCAAGAAGGCGTGGACTCCAAGATGATTATAAAGGAATACCGGATTCCCCTGCCAATGACTGTGGAGGAGTACCGCATCGCCCAGCTGTACATGATACAGGTGGGTTCAGGGTGAGGTGGGCAGTTCTGTGTGTGCAGACACCTGCACATGGGTCCAGTGAGGTCCTGTTCTTCACTGCGCAGGGTCTGCACCATGAGCTCTTGGTGAGCAACATCTGTGCCACTTTGTACGTGCGGCTCAGCACATGGGGACATCGTGAGACCTCCGTGGCATCGGGTTATCTCTCCAGACCTGTATTCCCAGGGCCACAATTCTAACACTCTTCCTTGCTTGCTTTTACTACCTGTCACCTAACCGACCACATCTTAGTTAGCTCAGGCTGCCATCACAAGTACCTTCACCTATGACTTAAGTGGCATCTCAGATTGACTTCTGCTAGGGCTGGTTTCTGGTTGAGGTTTTCTTCCTGGGTTGTATATATCCACCTTCTCCCTGTGTCCTCAAATGGTGTGTGTTGGGTGGGGGGTACCTGTAAGTACACTAATCTCATCATGGAGACCCCACCTCATGACCTCATCTAAACTTAATTGCCTCCCAAAGGACTCACCTCTGTGTGTACCATAACATTGGGGGTTAAATCTTCAGTGTAAGGATTTGAAGGAGACATAACACTGAGTTGGTAGCACCCCATTTAACAGACAGGGAGGTGTGATGCTAGAGAGGTTAATGACTTGCCCAGAAAGGATATGTGGCCTTTACTGTCACACCTGAGTTTGAGGATGACAGAATCTGTGAGGAGCCAGAGTCCACCACTTACTCCTGAGAGACATTGCTAGTCTCCCTCCTCAGTGCCTGGCCAGCCTAGAGCACAGGATGGTGTCCTCACTGAGGGGCACATGTCCTCACTCTGTGCCTCCTGCTTAGCCCCACTGCTGGCCTTCTGCCCAGCCTCCATGCTTAGGGCCTCATGGTCTCCCATACCGATTATGAGCCTGGCTCCTCTGGGTATATTGGATGGAGTCTGTGGTCCCTGTTACCAAGTAGGGCCTACCTACAGCTTCTCACTGTATAGCCCCCTAGATAAACCATTGCACTGAGCCCTCAGTGGGAAGAAAGCTGTAGTGGCAGGGCCTCCACCTCCTGTTCCCAGATTTTCCTGGTGGGCTCACACCTTCAGCCTTATTTGGGGAGGGGTTATGAGCCCCCAACAGTGCCTGGAGCCCTGGCTCCAGTCTGGGAGGAGCTTTGTGGAGCTATCAGAGTTTAACCAAGATCCTTACATGGGAATCTCAGCTGGAAAGAGAGCAGGAGGTGCCCTCAGCCTCTCTGGGGGGCTGTTTGCTCTGAGCTGCTTTAGAAGCGCCACTCAATTCCCTCTTGAACCACTTACCCCTTAATTATTTCTAGAGAGCAAGGAAAGGAAAAGGCTTAAATCAGGCCCCAGCTCTGAGCATTCTGGAAATAGTTCAGCCTATTCAAGGACCAGGCTCATCTGCCAAGGTTACCATTTGTCCTGTTGCTTCTCAATTCCCACCCCAACAGTGAGCCCCCTGATCCTAGCAGGCAGCCCCCATCTGCACCTGGCCTGCTGGGGTGGACAGTCAGGTTCCGGGAGAATGGACCTGGAGGTCTCTGGGATATCTCAGGACTTCTCCAGCATAGAATCACCTCTGACTCTGGCCCCCTCCAGATACCTGCAGTTTCTACAACATGTCTTTATCCAATGAATGTAATTGTTGAGTAACCCACAAGCCCCATTGTGATACTCAGACCTTCATTTCATCTGCTCTGAACAGTCCATTGGACCAACACATGCAGTGTCCATTGAGGAATGTGGATTGTTAACTAGGATTGTGGTAGATTGAAATGTCACCCACCTTGTAGATCATGAGTGTCAAAACTGTCACGCCCAACAAAGGGGCATCACTTCCAGCTGAACTGAGCCAGGGTGGCCTCTTAAGTACTGGCTGGACTCCTCTACTATTCTGAGCTTCTAGAGTATTTCCCTGTGTTCCTTCTGGTGAGCAAGCACATGTACACACATCTGCTTTCCCCTAAGATAGAAAGGTGAAACCAGCCAGGTGTCACCAGGAATTGTTTCTGTGCCAAGTGTTAGCATACCAAGAGGGGTGGCTGGGGGATGTGGTTGGAATACACACCAACATGTGCACAGATATGTGTGCACACACATACCTATACAGACATGCACAATCACATTCCAGTTCTCATAAACTTGAGAGAGGCCCACAGGCCTGAGAACTGGAGGGATATGACATGCCTGAGACCTTGGAAGGATGTGACATTCCTCTCTGGCCACTCTCAGTACCAGCGCAGCCCCTTCCTCTGACACCAGGTCCCCTGCAAGGCAACACCAGGCTCTGCCCAAGAGACTTAAGGGTGGTCCCCCAGCCTTTCCTTATGGCCCACATTGGCAGGAAGGCAGAGAAGACTGAGTCCCCATGTAGCAAAAGCATTGCAGCAAATTCTAAGTAAAGAGGTTGTGACACCCATGTTTATGTGTGGCCCTGGCTTGAGGTTGAGGTGTGATCTGTTTCCAGGAAACAGCACAGCTAGGAATCTGGTCTGTTGGAGGAAGTGTGGGCTTTTAGGGCCTAGCTGACCCTGGGTTGAGTTCTAGCTGTGCTGAGCAAACAGTTGAGCCTCCTCAAGCTCAGTTTTTTCATTTCTAACATAAGCTAGACTTTTGTGGAGGTCAGCCTGAGAAGCTCTGAAAGGTCAGTTTCCTGTTTTAAAGATGGGTAGCTGGGCACTGGTGGCTCACACCTATAATCCTAGCTATTCAGGAGGCAGAGATCAGGATGATCGCAGTTCCAAGCCAGCCTGGCAGATAGTTCACAAGACCCCATCTTGACAAAACTCATCACAAAAAAGAGTGACTCAAGGTGAAGGCCCCGAGTTCAAACCCTAGTACCGCTAAAAAACAAAACAAAAAAACAAGGGTTGGGGGAAATTGAGATTCCCCAGAGCCAGGGTTGTAGCTGCCCAGCTCCCAGGTGCCCCTGGAGAGCTTAGTTCTCTGTGTGGCAGTCACATCTTCATAATGCTGTTAGAACAGTAAGTCAAACTCTGATTTTCTGTGTTCTACCTGTGCAAGGCTGGTTTCAGAAGTGAATGAAGCACCCCCAGCATATCTGGGGAGACAATACAACTGTAGCCAAGTGAAATATAGGCAAGGGTATAGAGGGCCAGGGGACAGGAGAGGGGTCTGGCCCCAGGCCGCAGGCCTCAGGCAGACACTCCGTGTTCTGTACTGGGCCTTATGAAGCAGCTGCATTTTCATGGAAAGACTAGCAAGGAGGCTCAGTTCATTTCTCACCGCGCTGCCCACAGCTGGCAGCAGCTGGGAAGAGACCTTCTTCTGAATTAGCCGTCCCCATGAGGTTGCAGGAAAGATGAACTAAGCTTGCATGTAAAAGCACCTAGCATTCATCTAAGTAGCACTCTATATGCATGGTATCAAAACAAAGACCAAGTGATGGCCTTCTAGTAGGTACTTTTTTTTGTTTTTTGTTTTTTTTTCTAGTAGGTACTTAGAGAGGGTTTGCCACCCCAGGAGTGGCCAGAAGGGCTTGGCCAGGACCCTGGACAGCTCAGAGAGCTGCTGCCTACAGGTGTTTCTTCATGTTTGTACCCTTGGTCTTCAGCAGGGCCAGACTGTCTGCTGACTCAGTTTTCTGAGGGAGGTACCACACACTGCTAATGGAAAGGTTGGGGGCAAGGATGTACGTTTCCTTTGTGGCAGAAGGCAGGGTGAGCTAAGAGGAGCTTGCTCCTCCATGTCAGGGCAGGCCACCCCTCCATCATTGTGGCCTGTGGAGACCCAGGAGTCAACCTGGGAAGGTCTGGCTGCCCTAAGAGATGCCAGCTCCGGAGGTCCTGGTGACAGTTAGGGACTAGACTTGGTGGTTCACTCAACATTCTTTACCAAGTATCCTCTGTGCAGAGGCACCAAGGTGCTGTGTGGGGTCACCCAGACTCCAGGGCCACTCTTACTCTGCTGTTACCAACTGTGGCCCTCACACTTCTGAGCTCCCCACTGTATCCATCCCCCATGAGTGACCACAGCTATCCATAACCATCACCCAGTGATGAGGATAGTCCAGGTGCCCTGAGCCTGAAGTACATCAGCTGCATTAATCCTCTTGATAACCTGTAGAGTTGTGGTACCTTTCCCCAGCATTACAGATGAGGAGGCCCAGGGATGTCAAGGAGTCTCTCCAGGGGTGCACAGCTGACCTGATGATGCCAGTCCTTGTCTGGAGACGTGGCCAGCCACTTTCCATGCTTTGAGTGCTTTGAGATCTTCTAGTCTATCCTGTCTCTTACCTTTTCTGACGTTAGAGCTATGATTAGATTGCAGGATGCCCTCTTCCCCTACCATCTTTACACAGCCCTACTCCTTGCTGCCAGAGACAACAGATACTCATATGTGCACATATAACTCGAGGTCACTTTGTAGGCAGCCTGGCCTGAGTGGTGTAGTTGGTCTAGAGTCACCACCTCTGAGGAAAGTCACATGGTTGTGCAGGAGGTGCAAAAACCCCCCTGAGAAGCGAGGTTTCCCCTGCTGGGCAGGTGAGGATCAGTAGGTGGTGCTCCTGTTTATCTGACAGTCAGGCTGAAGCTCAGTCACAGGAGTCCATTGTGACTACTCACCCAGCTGGTTGATTAGTGTCCCCCCCACACACAAAATTCACATCTACCTGCAACTTAGGAGCATGACCTTGTTTGTAGGTAGGGTCTTTGTATATGGAATTAGTTTGGTTTTGTTTTTGAGACAGGTCCTCATAGCCAAGGCTGTCCTGGAACTTGCTATGTAGCTCAGGCTGGTCTCAAAGTCAACAATCCCCCTGCCTCTGTGTTCCAAGTGCTAGGATTATAGGTGTGCACCACCATGCCTGGCTCTGTATATGTAATTAGTTAAGGATCTTGATATAAGATAACCTAGGATTAGGATGGGCCCTAAATTAAATGACTGTTGTTTCTATAAGAAGAAGAAAGGGGGCTGTTGGAGTGGCTCAAGCACCTGTCTAGCAAGTGTGAGGCCCTGAGTTCAAACCCTCAGTACCATCAAAAAA